TCAATTTTTTGAACCATACAGTCTATGATTATTTATTGTTCATCTTTTTTTCTCTTTGTTTCTATTTGGAGCTTCCACAAATGAGGCAGGGTGGAATGGGGGAGATAGGAGGTGGGAGGGATATTGGGATCCGTGGTGGTGGGAAATGGGCACTGGTGGAGGGATGGGTATTTGATCATTGTACAATTGAAACCCAAGCACAAAAATTTGTAAGTCTACAACTGTACCTCATGATGTCTCACTAATTTAAAAAAAGAGGCTAAAAAAAAAAACTGTATTAAGGGGCCGGAGCTATACTACAGCTGATAGGGCATTTGCCTTACATGTGGCCAACCTAGGATTGATCCCTGGCATCCCATGTGGTCCCTGGAGCACTACCAGGAGTAATTCCTGAGTGCAGAGCCAGGACTTAACCCCTGAGCATCGCTGGATATGACTCAAAAAGCAAAAAACAAAACAAAACAAAACACCCCTCCCAAAAAAACCTGTGTTAAATCAAATAAGCCCATCAAAGAAATTCTTCACTGCTATTGCAAGTATTTTTGTCCAGTTTATTATATTGGAGTTTTCATTTTTTTGCTTATATTATCCATCTGTTCTTGTATGTTATTCACCTTCTCCAATAGTTTCCAAGCATAATAATTAGTTACTTTAATAACGAATTAATTTTCAATCTGGTCACTCCTAATGCTCTGCCATTCCCTAAATTCTTGATTTTTCTGTGGAAAAAAATTGATTCTGCTGTTAATACTAATACATTAGCAAATAGAATTATAGATTTACTACTCCAAACTATAATAACTTAAAAAGTATATAGAAAAACTAAAACAGATTTTCTTCTCTAGATAATAAGTTTCAGTAAACCTTTGCTGTTTATTTGATGTCAGTGTAAGTTCTGTTGGTATTAAAATTATAAACTTAAAATTATGATAAAGCAAAATGGTAGAACAGGTAATGGAGGCATTTGGATGGTGAGAAAGGAGCATGTGATTTATTCTTAGTTATAGTTATAAATCCTCCCAGTGCAGGCTCACATTGCTTAATAGCATTTTGCTGCCCAGAAGGTACATAGCTGACAGTAAAATTCTCCACCATGACAACCACTTGCAGGAAGGGGACCATCTGGGGTGGGGGCTGGCTTAGGCTGAGAGATGGGAGTAGAGTTAGAACTATGTTGAGAAACATCACTGGGGGATTTACGACTCGCATGATTGTGCACAGCCATTTGCCAGAAAGTTCCTGTACTAGCATCTTTCTAAGCTTCTCTCCAGCACTGGCATCCATTTCTTTATTCTTGTAGGTTCCTCTCCAAAGCCAAGAAGTTCCACTAGTTACTGTCAGACGCAGCAAGATACACTCTTCATTACATTAACATGTCACCTCACTCACACAAATGGATGAATGGTACATTTCATCGACTATTTCTGAAAACACTCTTGCCTTTTTCCTTAGTGCATATCTGTCTGACTCCATGTGGGAAAAGTGTCACTTCCAATGTAAACTACCTTTTACCCTCAAAGACCCAGCCATGCAATGCATCTTAACCCAACCTATTTTTTTTTCTTTTTTGGGTCACACCCAGTGATGCACAGGGGTTACTCCTGGCTCTGCACTCAGGAACTACCTCTGATGATGCTCAAGGGACCATATGGGACGCTGGGAATTGAACCTGGGTTGGCCACGTGCAAGGCAAACGCCTTACAGGCTGTGCTATCACTCTAACCCCTTTCCAAGCTTTTTTTTTTTTATTAGCGAGACATCATGAGGTACAGTTGTAGACTTACAAATTCTTGTGCTTGGGTTTCAATTATACAATGATCGAGTACCCATCCCTCCACCAGTGCCCATTCTCCACCAATGGTCCCAGTATCCCTCCCATCCCCACATCCTCCCCATCCCACCCTGCCTCTGTGGCAGGGCATTCCCTTTTGTTCTCTATCTCTTTTTGGGTGTTATGGTTTGCAAAAGAGGCAATGAAACCCAAGCTATTTTGATGTAGCATCTTGTTGAGATTTTAATTTTATTCAGCGTGTTTGCATTGTCCAGCTACTCTCTTCTGGCTGTAGAGCTAGGTTTGGTAGATGTGCTGTGAGCATTATGGGAATTTCTTAACATATTAGTTTCTTCTTAAATTTTGCTGTTATTCTCTCTTTTGACATTTTAATTATTTTGTACTGGAATTCTTCTATTTAAATTTATTTTGTTTGGAACTCTAAGATATTTGGATTTATGTTTATAACTTAATCTTCAGAATGGGAAACATTTTAGCGATAATTTCTTTGATCAGTGGTTCTTCCCCTTTCCTCAGGGGCTCATAGTTCAGATATGGTTTCTCTTAATATTATCCTACATACCCAATAGGAGATAGAGAACAAAAGGGAATGCCCTGCCACAGAGGCAGGATGAGATGGGGGGGGGGATGGGAGGGTAGGAGGGATACTGGGACCACTGGTGGTGGCGAGTGGTCACTGGTGGAGGGATGGGTACTCATTGTATAACTAAAACCCAAGCACAAAAACTTGTAAGTCTACAACTGTACCTCATGGTGTTTTACTAATAAAAATTAAAGAAACTGAACTGAAAAGAACGGTATATGAAACTAAAATAAATTGCTGCATAGACTCAGCAGCAGATAACAGGAGGCAAGGAATGAGTCAAGAAAGAGACAAGGAGCAAGAGACAGGGAACACTAATTAAAAAAATAGAAAAAGAGAAATGAATGGGAAAATTGAGACATAGGAAATTATGGGATAATATTTTTTTAATTTTTATTAGTAAAACACCATGAGGTACATTGCCAGGTGTGACCCAAAAAGCAAAAAAAAAATTCCCACTATTATTTAATGCAGCACTTAGTATAATAGCTAAGATATGAAATAAACCTAGGTGTCCAAAAACAAATGAGTGGATCCTGAAGGTGTTGTACATATATATGATGGAATACTTTGTATCTACAAGGAAGGATGAAATTATCCAATTTGCTGCAATTTGGATAGTTGTGGAGGATATCATGATATGTGAAGTAAGTCAGAAGAAGGACAGAAACAGAATGATCTCACTTACATGTACTATATGGATAACTGGATGAGAAAATGTAAGGCATTAAAGGGGGGAGGCTTACATCAATCCTGACCCCACAGTATAGGTTGTAGAAGGACAGGGAAGAAAAGAAATCAAGGAGGGAATCAGAAGAAGGGGGATGGGAAGTAATGGAGAGCGGGTGTCAAGGGCCTTGGGTACATTGGTGGTGTAGAGGTGAGGTACAGCTATACATATAAACCATGGAGCCAGTGATACAATGAAAGCGGGAGATCCAAACTACAGCTGCTAACGGATTTAAAGGTGTTACTTCAAGGAGGAGGCAGGCTGGGGGTGGGAGGGCACCTGAGGACACTGGTGGAGGGAAGTTGACATTAGTTATGGGAATGGTCCTGGAACATTGCATGCCTAAAACTCAACTATAAAGAACCTTGTAAATCATGGTATCTTAATAAAAATTGAAAAACATTCAAAGTATTGTATTTTTTTCTCTATGAAAATAGTTTCTTCTTGTCACTGTAACAAATGATTTAGTGGGCTTGACAGATAGTAGAGAGATAAAGCACTTACTTACTTTATATGTGCTCCACCCAGGTTTAAATCCTTGGCACCCATATGGTCCCCTGTACCCTGCCGAAGCATAGAGCCAGGGGTAAACCCCAAGTACTGCCAGATGAGTCCCGCAAATTCAAACCCAAACCCAAACCCAACAAATACAAAAAGTTGGGGAAAGAGATGCCTCTCACCTTCTTTTTCTCCTAGGATTGCTTTGTCTATTCAGGTACTTTATTATGCAATTTCAACAGCATTTAAAAATTTTCAGATTGGAAGGAAGACTTTTCTTGGGGTTAGATTGAACTTTAAGTCCTTTATTTTATGAGACAGACTGAAAAGACAAAATTTGTCAAAAATGCAATGTGCTTTTAGTCTATCAAGTACAGTGAGCACAGAAATTTAGTTACCTTGTAATACTTATTGCCTTTGCTGAAGGAGAATCTTAAGGAATGGAAAGAGTCTTCATGTCGTATTTGAACAGATCCTCTGGTGATAAAGGGTATATGGTTCCTGCTTCAGGCTGTACTTGGGATTCTGCTGCAGTATTTTAGAAATCATCACCAGCATTATTAGCAGTGCAGGTGGCTGGGTCTACACTCTCAGGCTTGCAAGGCACGCAGCTTATGGTTGAGCCAGATCCTCAGTCTTTATTTCCCGTTCAATTTTCATTTTATTGAATATTTAAAAATTTTATTTATTAAAAATTTTTATTGAATCCCCATGAGATTCAGTTAAAAAGTTTTAGTAATTGAGTTTAAGTCATACAATGATCGAACACCCATCCCTCCACCAGTGGAGCTTTCCCATCACCAATGTTCCCAGTATCCCTCCCACCACCCCCACTTCACCCCACTTCCTGCCTCTATAGCGGGCAGTTTCCTTCTTTCTCCCTGCTTTGGAGCATTATGATTTACAATATAGAAGATACCCAGTCTTTAATTTATTTTGTGGGGGTGCATGCCTGTCAGTGCTCAGAGCATACTTCTGGCACTACGCTCAGGAATCACTTTTGGCCTGGTGGGGCCTGGGGGACCATATGGGATGCTGGAGATTGAACCAAGATCATTTGCATGCAAGACAAGTGCTCTACCTCCTATACTATCTCTCTGGTTCCCAGTATTTATAATTTTTGTAACAAAAAATTCTATTTTTTCATTGCACAATTGGGATGCACAATTGGTAAGCATGTGTTAGACTACTTATACACATTCTGAGATTCAGTTTTGGCTGATAAATGTTCTCAATTCATTATCAGGAGGAGAACTATTGTGTTAATAATATTAGGGGCTCTTATGATGATAAAAGTTCAGAAAAATTACCCAAACTCTTGAGGCCTAAGACTGACAAAGCTTTAGATAGAGATGGAAACAGAGACTCAGCATTTGAAAATTTTCAGAGACTCGATATCAGCACACCCGGCTGACTTCCATCTGCAGGGTCTCCTGAGGAGCGCTGCCTTCACTCTCTCCCACATGATTGTCCTCCAGAGCCCTCAGCAGAACCAGCTTGAGGCTCTGCTGCTGCCTCTGTCTAAAGGAACCAACAAAGAAATAAACAAAAGGGTTGGCAGAGCTGTTGACACTGGACAGGAAAGTGACAACCCAGAAAGTATAATAAGGCAATGCCAAGAAATCATCCTGGATCCAGACTAAGAGGAAACATTGCACACCAAAGGGCAGGCCACAGAGGAGGAAGACCAGCACTGTGAGTCCGATGGTCATGTACAACCTGGTCAGCTTCATCCGCTGGGAGCCACTGAACAACCTGACCAGAAGGGCCAGACTGGACCCAGACAGAAGCAAAAATGAGAAAATCAGCCATGAGACAAAGACGAAATCAACTACTCGACACGGATAGTACCAAAAATTCTCAAAATCTTTGCTAAAGAGGCCACAGAAGTTCCCTTCCAGGATATTCAGCACCAGGGAGAGGGTCCAGAGCAGGGCACAGATGACAGCCGATATAGTTCTTGGGCGGCGGCAGTGGTACCAGATGGGAAATTGCACAGAGAGATACCTCTCTGTGCTGATGGCACTGAGGATGCTCAGTTCTGTAATGTATGTGAAGTTCAACAGAAACTCAAAATATCTGAAGATGGAGAAGGTATAGAAGATTTCCAGGGAAAATATAATACTGAAGCAAAGGGAGAAGAAATCGGCGGTAGCCAGGTTGGAGAGATAGATGTGGAAAGATGTTTTCTTATGCATGTGGAAGGCCAGGAGCCAGAGCACCACGGAGTTTCCTGCCAGACCAATCAGGGCAATTACAAGGATAAAAATGCTCAGAATCACGATCCCTATGTCAGATGAAGAGAGATCTTCTCCAGTTCCATTCATGGGTGTGGGATCAGTTCTCAAGGTTGCAGCGGTTGGATCCATGCCCAGAAACCCTCTGTAGGTCCCCTAGAAACAAAAGACAAACCTGAGCACCTGGTATATGGTCACTGATTCCCATAGCCACCCAGTTACCTGCAATTACTCTCCGTGTATAATAAAGGAAAGACATAGGATTGTAGGAATTAAGATACCAAAAGAGCACACAACTTTTGTGCCCTGGAACCTAGATTCAGATTCAATTCTCTCAGTCTTTATAGCATGCGCCGCCTGTACTACAAGAATTCTTCACATAGGAATATTCTATGGCATCAATATTCTTGTTCACTGATGTAGATCATGTCATGTCCTAAGGGTCAGATGGAGAAAAGGCTCTGGTAGGCTGTGTGACATAATGACAAGGCATTGTATCCAGTATTTTTCTTGCTTGAGGACTGTGGTTTTGACAGGGGCAGGAAATTGGCAGTTTCAGGCATGACTTATGGACAATCTTAGTGACTGAGTGTTGACTACTCTGTAGGGAGATAGAACATCATGATTACAGTCACAAAGATACTCTGAATTCTTGCTCTAACAGATTGACCTGAGTTATCAGATAGAAATAACCCAAATGGCAGTTTCATGTCAGAAAATTCTTCTCTTCTGTGTATTGGTGAGTTTGAATGATTAGCTCTGTGAGATAGACTCACTGGGAAAGCAAGAAATATTTAATTAAGAAAAATTCATCTAGGGGATTGGAGAGATAGTACAGTAGGTAAATCTCTTGCCTTGGATGTGGCTAATCAGGATTCGATTCCCACTACCCCATATGACAGAGCCCTGCAAGGAGTGATCTCTGAGCACAGTATCAGGATTAAGTTCTGAGCGTGACTGGGTGTGGCCTCCAAGCAAATTATATGATACATATATACAGTGGAACACTACTTAGCCACAAAAAGTTAAAGTCATACAATTTGCTGCTATATGGATGGCTCTGGAGAGTACCATGCTGAGTGAAATTATTTGGAGGGAGAGGGACAGACACAGAATGATCTCACTCATGCGGGTTATAAAGATGTATAGTAAGGAAATTACAAATGCCAAAGGTAATAGAAACAGAGAGCATGAGAACTGGTCTCTAGAAAGAAGCATACAGGAAAAGAACCACTGTGAAAATGGTGGAGGGAAGTGGTCACTCTAGAGGAGGACAGAGTGCTGAAAGTAGGTAAAAAAGTGCCTGCCATAGAGGCAGGCTGGAGGGAAGGAGGGAAAAGGGGAACATTGGTGGAGAGAAGGAGACACTGGTGTTGGAATATTGTGTACTAGAAATTCAATCAAAAGTAACTTTGTAATTCATGGTGATTCAATTTAAATAAAGACTGGGTTTCAGGCATACAATCACAATCAACAATCACAAACATCCTGTTATTCGTCGATTGCCTCGAGCAGGCCCCAGTAACGTCTCCTTTGTCCTAGCCCTGAGATTTTTTTTTAAAAAAGTGCCATATTCTAGGCTCTTTCAGAGTTAGGAGAACGAGACCCTTCATTGTTACTGGTATTTGGCATATTGGGTATGCTACGGGGAGTTTGCCAGACTCTGCCGTGTGGGCAGGTTAGATTCGGTAGCCTGCCAGTTTGTCCAAAGTAGGAATGAGATGATAAGATGATAAGGTCCCTGAGAGGAGTAGGCGGGGGTCACACCCACCAACTGGCCCCCGGCGCCCGTCAACGGCCAAGACTCAGAGACTATAAAACCCAGGCATACAATATTTCAATACTAATCCCATCACCCCTGTCTACTTGCCCCCACCAATGTCCCTCATCCTTCTCTGTTTGCCTCCTATTCACCAGTCTGCTTCTAAGAGAGCCATTTAAAAAATCAACTTTTGACTCTGTGGTTTACAGTATTGTTACTGAGAGGTCATATATAACACTTTTCTACTTTTCAGCCCTGCTCTTCCTAGTTGAAACTTCCCTCATCATAGTTGTAGCCCACTCCCTGTCCTGACTTCCAGCCACACATTCTGAGTGGCATGCTTTCAACAAATTCTATTTCCGTTCCACCTGTTTTTTTTTTTAAAAGAAATTTACTCTGATATCCTTAACATCTAGCCTACAATCTTTTGCAATATCTTGATTTAACATAGGATGACTTGAGGTTTCAAGAACAACAAAATTTTTGTTAGATTATATCAGCACCGCTAAATTCCGTTTTGCCTTCACATTGTCCCATGTGAGGCTTCCTTGCTTTTTGCTATCATATCATTCATGATTGTGTTAATTTACTAGAAAATTTCCATGTGAGTACATGGGAGAACCTGGGTAATGAGATGGCTAGTTTCCCCTTGATACCCAAATGTCTATTCTTATCACTACCATAATTTTTACAGTCTTGGATTAGAAATGGGTTCCATTTTTCCAATCTCTCTTGATGATGGATTGGTACCATGAACTAGATTCTGATGGTGGGAGTAAGAAGTGGGGCACTAACTCCTATTGCCTCTGCTTTCTTTTCAGTCCCCAGGAAATAAGTACTCCTGTATCTGGGAGTCTTGTAGAATAAGTCACGTCTGTGGGAAAGGGGAGCAGTAAATTGAGTGAGTCTATATAAAATGACTTGGGTATCCTGATTTGTTCTTATAATTTATTATTCAATTTGTTGTTCTAATAGATTTATTTTTCAAGCTGACAAAATTGTACAAACGTGTACAATTAAAATATTTATATAGCCCACTACAAAATTCTTTTTAGTTTTCAAGGCATTTGTGATAAGTGTGAGAGATTATATTAAAGAGTTGATACTACAGAGGTGCAAGCAAACCAACAGGAGATAAAGAATGAGAAATTGAACCAATTACCTGGAGAGAATATGACAGGAAATAACTATGGGAGCTCTCCATTTACCATCGGATATCATCTCTATTGAATTCCCATATTCATTGAGGTCCCATGACTTACAATATTGTTAATGATAGCTTCATGCATGTGTTGTCTTAACACCACACCCACTACTAAAGTGCTTGGTTGCCCCCATCAATTTACCAAGAACCCCTTCTTTCTTGAGTTTGCAATGACTGAGTTACTCTACCTGAGGGTATAATCCTACTTTGATTGGCTCTTTATTATCTACAGCCTCACCAACAGATGCACCCACAGACTTCTTTAAATTCTGGTACTTGACTTTGCCTTTTGTGCCTATATCCAAATTAATTAACCCTCCCATATGCCACTTTAATTTAGAGCATTGTGGTCACCATCCCATGTATCTTCTTTGAACATGCCCATACAGGTAAATTATCCTTAAATAAGCAATAGTCATTCCATTTTAGATCAGCTGTTTTCAACTGGACCTCTGAGTGATAAAGTATCAAAAAGCTGAAAAATAAAGCACTTCTAATTTGTCATAAAATTGTTCTAGCCTGTTCCATAAATTAAGGAAGGAATTCATTTCTCATCATTAAATAAAACTGAATGTTTGATGTGGAAGGAAGAATGGAAGAGTTCCATAAAGGAAACATCATCTAATTCACATTTCTTACAGTTGGATTTGTGAGCACCCTGAATTGTAAGGTAGAAAAATTGTTTTTTTAACCCCCTTTTCTTTTCTATTGAAGTTACTCTGGAACCTCAGTTCCCCAATATAATGCTGGACTTATGTGCATGTTTATTAAGAGGAAAAGTACAATAGTAGCTTTGGAAATAAATAATTGATTATAAACATACCTTTCTTCTTCCTGATGTAGGCAACCACTTGATCCCTGATGATGGGGAGAGCCTCCTGGGATTTGTAGCTTTTAAAGAATACTTCTCTACTCTAGGGATGAACCTGCAGGAAAGGGAGGGTTGCAGAAGTGAGGCTTATCAAGCTGTCAATCCACTGTCATTTCCTGTACTGTGTTTCTCTGCTGGCAAATGGGAGCATGCAATCAATTGGGCAGTGAACTGTCATGAGATGTTTCTCAAGATTTAATCTGATTCTGCTCTTATCTCTCAATCTCTGTCCACCCAGATCCCTTCTGGTCATGAATTATTGTTGGGGATTCTTCCTATGCTATGCCTGGGTATCCATCAAAGCCAATATGAACCTGTAGTGGGAGGCACTGTAATTTAGAAAACAGTGCTAGGAAGTATTTTAAGTAAGAATACCACCCTTTTCCACATCATCTTTACTTGTCCAGACCCTCTGTGGCTTGAACCACTCTTTTTCTTGGTTTCTTGGTTTCAGTAAAAGAAGTTAAATGTAACTCATATAGACTTACATTTTCATGTAACAATGAAGTGGTAGAAGTCTTCCAAAATGAGAGAAGGCAGGGGGGGAGGAGGGAGAAAAAGAGAGAGAGAGAAAGAGAGAGAGAGAGAGAGAGAGAGAGAGAGAGAGAGAGAGAGAGAGGAGAGAAATGTGTCTGCCATAGAGACAGGTTGAGGGTAGTGTGGGAAACTAGGAACATTGGTGGTGGGAAATGTACACTAGTGGAGGGATGGGTGCTGGAACATTGTATGACAGAAAACTTGCTAACTGTATGGTTTTTCAATTAAAAAATACTATTCTCCTAAAGGTCTATTTCGTTGTGGAATCGTCCACCAGGAGACTCCCATGTCCATCGTTTAGATTCTGTCTTCTGGAACTGTGAGTTACCATGGATGGTCTTGGTCGACATGATGAACTCAGACAGTCTCTTACCCTGTTCGTTCCATTCTAGGCCATGGGTCCCGATGTGAAGTTCTTCAGCTGATCTTCTCGGTCCTATCTTGGCATTAAAATCACCCACAATGATCTTGTAGAAGGTGTGGTCTTCTTTATAGAACTTCTCTAGCTCCATGTAGAACTTCTCGATTTCTCTTTCATCATAATGAGATGTTGGTGCGTAGACAACGAAGATAGAAACTGCAGGCAGTGAGCCACATCTATTCAAATGTAAACGTCCGATTCGGGTTGTTAGGCATTCGAATGAATCAATGCTCTTGGCCAAGTTTGTGTTGACAAGGACACCGACGCCTCCAACACCTCTTTTATCGCATGTTCCGAGGAACAATTCTTCTCCAGTGTCGAAAATGGCATGGTGAGGTTCGTGCCTTCTTGTCTCGGTCAG